GCTCCTCGTCTGTTCTTTTCTGCAGTTTTTTGGCAATGGGATTATTCAGTATGGGAGTAGGAATGGGGTTAGCCCTGAGGATATTCAATGTGCAGTCGACCGGGCAGCGCAGAAGGTGAGGACCCGACAAGTACAGGGACATTTGTGCCAGCAGAGGTTTGACGGGGCTCAGCCCAGACCCCACGGAAGAAATCCCAGCCCTTCCAACCAGCTCTGGAACAAACATCTTGCTCCCAGCAGCTCCACGGAAACTCCAGCACAGGAGCCTCGTCTGCCAGGCAGGACTGCGGGGTGTGACCCAGTCACGGCCACATCCTGCGCCCTACCCGGAGCTGTGGGGCTGTCTGTGGAGGCCGTGAGGCTGCCGCTGATGGGGGCTGCTGTGCTCTTTCCAGCGCTGCTTCGTCTGCGGTGAGAGTGGGGCTGCCATCACCTGCCGGGAGATGGGCTGCAACCGCAGCTTCCATCTCCCCTGTTCCGTGGAGGGTGGATGTGTCACCCAGTTCTTTGGGCTGTACAGGTAAGACTAGCTAGTCCTCGTGAGGGAGGCTCCTTGCCTTCAGTCCCCTCTCTGACAGAATCAGCCAAAGCAGAAAGGAACCTGCAGTGAAACTTCCAAGTGGCCGGTCACAGGCAGTCTCAGAGCCGCACACGGTCGTGGCCTTCTTTATACATCCTCTACCCACAGGGGTAGAGGATCACAGCCAGTGCTTCTCCCCTCACCCATTGCTTTCCTCTTCCCCCAGGTCCTTCTGCTGGGAGCACTGCCCAGAGCAGGCAGTGCAGGCGACTCCGGAGGAGAACACCACCTGCCTCATCTGCCTGGACCTTGTTGGGGACAGACCGTCCTACGGCACCATGGTGTGCCCAGCGTGCAAACACGCCTGGTTCCACAGGTGCTGCATCCAGAGTCAGGCTCTCCATGTTGGCTTCTCCGGCTTCTGCTGCCCTCATTGTAAAAATGAGTATCGATTTCTGATGGAAATGCTCACCATGGGCATCCGAATCCCCTCCAGGTTCGTGTCCTTCCGTCTGGCTCATAAGACAGGAGGGTACAAGCACCGTGCTGTGCCCAGGGCTGCCCCAGCAGTCCTGGCCCTCAGCTGTCCCATGAGTCTGTCCTTCAGCTTCATGGAGGAGTTGGAAACAGGGCCGGCGGGAAAAGCAGGCGCGCCCTGCATCTGCCTTATGCCGGGCCAGCAGAGGCCCACCAATTTTCTGTTTTTTTGCCAAAAGAGGCCCATCATGGGAGGAAAACGGTGCCTACGAACAATTATATGAGAGGCACAGCCGCTGCGATGCCAGGGA